TCACCTTAGTGGCATTAGACTGAGTGGTTGTCATTCCGCACTGAAAAGTGTCGATAAACTCTGGTGTTAGATCTAAATCACGTGACAGCTGCCTCCATTTTCCACAACTGCTCACTCGGCATTGCACCCAGTAGGGGAGAATTTGATCAACCATATACTGTGTAATGCCTGGCTCTGTTCTTGCTTTTGATGACCAGTTCCGCTTCCATTTGTCAAATTCTGCATATCCCGGTTTATGACTGAAGGACAAATGAGAGTTAAAATTAAAATTCACCCAAAATGTTTTGTTTTTTCTGTCACTATCACAAGACTGAAACCATATATTAATAAAAACATAGCTTGTTCCCAATATCAACTTTACACCATTCTGACAAAAAAAAAAGTTTCCACATGCATTTGAATAAATCAGGTCACGTAAAGAAGTTCCACATGAAATAAAAAGCTGTTTTCACTGCAACATTCCAAAAAATAACAACTATTGAACATAATTTCTCATCCAAAAAAATAAATAAAAATATATACATATGGTTGAATTAAAGTTAATAGGAAATTAACTATTCGTTAGCATTTGAAGGACAGTGGTATTTCATGGGCTCCCAAAAATTTACTAACATACATCATAAAAAAGAGGAATGTAAGCTATTCTCTCTAGGTAAGCTCTCTTTTAATCAATAATGTTAGCTTGATTTTTATAAGATAAATTTTTCTTGAAGTTGAATTGTTACATTGAAATTAATTCACTCAGAGCACTAAAAATCCCATAAAACTACACATTGGCAAAAGTTTTTTTTTTTTTAAAGTTCAAAAAGTCCCTACCTTCTGTAGAAATGATCAAAACACTCATTACAGTAATGCTCCCCAAGGGTAACATGGTACCATCGAGATGTCCATTTTGACCCCGCACATCTAAAGATAAAAGGATGCAAAAATGCAGAATGTCCAAAGAACATTAGATGTTACAAAAGTTGGAATGCAGGAATTTTCTTGTTTTGGAAAAAAAGAAATAACATCATGTCTAACGTTTTTGACAATGGTAAAACAATGATTAAAATAAAATAAATATAACGCTAGACTACATTGTCTGTATTTATCTCTATAGATAAATGGAAGAACTGAATTTGCAATATTCAGATAATAGAATTAGTTTTAATTACTGTTTCTTGATTTTTGGTTGGTATGATCAAATCTAGAAAAAATATGTGGGCCTATTCAAATTGAACACATTATTCACACACTTTCAATTGCATATTATATATTCACCCTCTAATATTATGTCTAAGTGCTCGAATCAGGATATGAAATCTATCAAACTGAATAATAAATAGGCTTTTTTAAATATGAAAAAGATTTTTATTCACATTTAAACCCAATTCATGGTGCACTCCAACAATAACTGGGCATCCTTTTTAAAAATAATTTTAAGCTTTAGGCAGCATGTTGCACATTTGACCAGTCTGCAATTTTTAAATATTTCCAGAGCAAAATTAACCAATTTTAAATACCTTTCAGTAGCTCTTGCAAAGCAAATAGGGTTTACAGCAGGGCAACCAGTTCGATCACATTTCTTTTTTGGACCTTCTGTTGATTGCTCCTTATCATCTGCATATTTTGTATTTGGTTTAACCTGACGACTAGATCTGATGATAGCCAATAATTAATACTATTAATTATTCAAATTATACAAATTATGTGATTAACATCATTACATAAAACAATGAAAATTAACAAGAAAAAAAATTATTTGACATGTTTAGTCACTTTGTCTTGTAACACCAGTTTAAATGTATGTAAACTTGGATTCTATGACCTGGTTACACTGGAACCCCACAGAAAAGTTATATAGAGTCTCAGAATAGTACTTGACCATCTCAAAATTGTTCAAAATCTGTCTTTTTCTTCATTTCACAATATCAAAATAATTATGTCACAAAATTACATCATACAGCACCAAAGTAAACAAAACAAAAAGGAATGTTTAATATATTTGTCACTAGGGCAAATACGCTAAATATCACTGTTGCATATCTAGTGAGTTCATTGTGAAAACACAAATGATCATTACAAAAAGTGAGGGTGTTATTTTTGAAAATATTTAGACACCTCTTTGTGAACTTTCAACCTCCCCACCTTCATTATGTATCACCCTCACTATCATTTTTATCCTTTCTCTCGCTCTCAGTACTTCTTCCTTCTAGTATGCATTGCCGCCCCCCCCCCCCCCCACTTATTTCTTGAAATGAAGTGTATACTCGTCGCCCCCATGCATCTCCGACACCAATTTTATGATCGACTATTAGTGGTCACGTGACAAGGCTGACATACAAATATTTGGCCCAACTTTATTACAGCAGTCATGTGACCTGGTCGCTGGACGAATATCTCGAGAATTATTCATCCGGTCGCTGGACATGTAAAATATTTAAATATATAAGTGTATTGATAAATTGCATTAATTTAATAACTTACTTTATATTCTGAGAATAAGACATCTGGAAATTGATTTTTTGATTTTAACATTAAAATGTTATCTATTTACTTTAAAATATGACCAACCTTTTCATTTGAAACATGGAGATCTGTTTTTAAATTAAACTACCATTTATATCTGGAAAAAAAATGAAAAAAATGATGAAATCATAACTTGATTTTTATGTAATTTAAAAAAAAAAAAAAAAAACAAATAATTTTTTTTTATGATGAAAATAAAAAAAAAAAAAAAAAAATTATTAAAAAATAAAAAAAAATTAAATTAAAATACCATTTATATCTGAAAAAAAAATGAAAAAAATGATGAAATCATAACTTGATTTTTATGTAATTTAAAAAAAAAAAAAGAAAGCAAATAATTTTTTTTTATGATGCAAATCAAACAATAAAAAAAAAGATTATTAAAAGATGAAAGAAAACACTTTTAATATCTAGGCTTAATAGCTAAAATACGGAACTATGAATGATCAGTTTTCTTTATGCATTCATAAACAATAGCGTAGCAGCAGCAGCGGTGGACCAAGAATTTGTTTGCGTCTTCCGCCAACAAAAAGCTTACCTGGTAGCCTACTCTTACACTTTTAAATGCCCTTGGCTAGGGCCTTAATATATTATTATATATATATGTACTACACTAAAATATGACAATATATAGGGGCAGACTATAGTCTATTAAAATATAGTATTCCAACATCAATTATAATAATAATAATGGTAAAAGTAAGACATAGTTTAGTCATAGTAGAAACTTCCTGGTATATAATATTTATAAATTATGACTATGCTTGACATCTTTAATGGACCCAAAACTATCTTAGATCAATGTTAATCAAATGAAAATTAAATTGATTTTGAATCAAGTCACCATGCCCCCATGAAATGTCAAATTGTGCATGATCGTGTCCTCCAACAACACCAAGAGAAGAATTCAAGACGCAAGTGTCAACTGTTAACTCAACTGTCTGACCGTTCCGTCAGAGAGCAATTAATTATTTTCATCATCGTGTCCACGTTTAAAAAACTAAATATGCGTACCTACATCACCATAAAATAAAAAATGATGGAGATATTATTTTACCACTGGCTAAAACTTCACATGTTCTCAGATATTGAACAAGTGGAAAGCAACTTTGGTTCTCTTTCATGTGTAACAAAAGTTTTGACAATTTCATTGAAGGGATGTAACTCTCAATATTTTTTTTAAAAAGTCTATCAGTGAGGAATTCGTTCTCAGTTCAGGTCAGTTTTTTAAAATTATTTTATAGCCGTGTGGTGTACCTTACAATTATTAATACCGTTGTGTAGGAAAATGATGGTCGTCGGTGAGACACAAAGCCTGAAAAATCTACAATCTACATTCTTTCTGATGACTTCTCTCACCCGTTTAATCTATCCATTCAGAAAGTATTTCTATATGTAAAGAATTTCTTTCTACTCATATTTCCATCTTGTGGAGCCTACATTTTTTTTTTTTCATGCGTGACATTTTTTTTCTTTGCAGTGTTCACCTGGTGAACAGCTGGAAAAAAAAGGAGGTGGGTTGACACTGTCACTCATATTATCATGGTTGAGCGCATCTGCTTCATTGAGTGAACAGGTGTGTTGGTGAGATCTGATTTTTTAAAAAGTATATGCCTAGATAAAGAATTAAGTTACTTAAACCTGGACTTTGTTAGCATGTGATGTGTAAAAAAATAAAATATTTATACTATTGTTGATAACTTTGTTTTTTCTTACTTTAATTTTAAAGAATTTAGAAATACTCAAATCAGATAGTATTTTTAAAACCTTTTAAATGGTATTTAGAATAAAGTTTAAAATTTCAGTTAACTCTACTTGCTAAGAAGGAAATTTATATTGTCCAACCTCAAAAGAGCAAATTATTAGTCAATGATAAGATGAGAGATATTAAATGTGTACACTTTTGGCCAAAATATCAAGGTCTAACTTGAGTAACAATCAACACACACCGATATTAATATCTATTTATATAAGGCTGAACAAATACCCATAGTCATAGGCTGTAATCCATGTTTGCAAAATAATTGCATTTTTGTTTTGAGCAAATAAAACAACTGCAAGTTAAATAACTATGATTGTGAGGTATGACTCAAATATAACTGCATCACCACCCCTCCTCCCGAGGTATTAGTTAAGTCATGCTCATATCATGTAGAATCTTCTTTGGCTCTGTCAAAACTGGTGAATTTTATATACAGTATGTAAATAAAAGATTGTTTTACAGATGTCTCTCCTCTCGTTATTTGTATTGTATATATAGTTGCAATCTTCTAGAGACTTAAAAGAAATTAAATAGCACTCCACCCAAAATTATAACATATTAGCTAGTTGAACTTGTAGAATAAAATAATCTTCTACCCAAATACTAATAATTTAAATTCAGTATGTTATATTATTAATATGTTATAATTTTACTTTTAAGTGACATTTCAATAATGTAACACAAAAAATGAATCATAAAAATATTATGTTTTTATTTAAAAAATTTAATTAGCAAGTTTATCTCATGACATTTTTACAAATGTTTTAAGTTAATTATGTACTCTCACTCAAAAAAACATCCACTCTAATAAAAAGTAATAAATGCTGGCCTGTTATATTTAACTTAGCATTTTTCAAAATGACTAAATATTGTTAAGTTTTATAACAAGTATTTTAAATAACTTATCAAAAAGATAATTTTATTCTCAAGCATTTCCGAACAGTACCGGGTATGGGAGAAAAACATCATCTTTCATTATTTTTTTATAATGAACATAATCCTGAAAAGAAAGAAATGAACATTTTCCCAACAAACTCAAAATTCTGGTCACATAAAAATATGTTCAACTAGCACAGCCTCACAAAAAGGTAACAGAATTTGGCAGTAGTTTTTTTCTGGATAGCCACAATCAATTTGTTAATTATTCTTGAATTTGGAATTTTTTTTACCTTCTATGACAATAAACTTTATACAAAGGATATTTTTTAAAATCTAAATAATGGCACACAAATGAAATAAGGAAAACTAATAATTTATCCTAAAATTGCCATTTTCTTTTTTTGCTTTAAAAAACAGAATTTTCAATAGATAGATACCTCTGTAGAAAATACCAAAATGTTCTACAGTTTTTGCATGAATAAAAATTACAAAAACTACCATTTATAAACCACAAAGACAGTTATTTATCATTCATCATCATCACTATCTTTATTATCTATTCTACTTTGCCGAATGGCACTTGTCATCACATCTTCGATCTCTGGCTTTTCAGGTTTCTCAATATCAGATTGTATGGCTCCAGTTTGGGCAAGCATCCATTCAAGTTCTGTAACAAAAAGTTGTCATTTCACCAAATTAAAAAAAAAAAATTAGGAGGAACAAATCATGTTTTTAAAAATATAATTTAAATCCCATTCTTTTATACTTTCTCATTTGATAACATGTTTAATTCTGTGTACAGACTCTTTTTTTGGTCTGCTACACTGTCACAAGTTAATTTTTATAAATAATTTTACCAATAAAACGTGACAATAGGATATTGTTTACTTAGAAAACACAAATGTTCATAGTTTCACTAATCTTTGTCCTTGAAACTTACTGATGGGTATTTAATAGGTTTTTTTGTTTGTTTTTTTTCTTCAAAATTACAAAGTAAGTCAATAAATAGAAACTCATACCATCCTGTTTAAGATTCATGCCACCAAATGAAAAAGGACCAATCCACTGTTTCTTTAAATCACCCTCAAAATAAACAAAAATGGTAGGCAAGTTTTTGTCTGGATAGTTGGGTATGCAGACTGATGACACGCTCTTTAAAAATTTAGTTTGTGGGAAATTCCTTGCCAAGTTTGTTAAGTAATTGTTAATCAGCTTGCAAATGGGAATCCTAAGGAAACAAAATATATCACACATTATAGTCCTGTGCACATTTTAAAATATAAATAATACTAAGAAATGTTGTTTTGGGGTACTTTTTACAAGTTGGGATTGACATTATCCATTATGAGATTAATTTTTCCAACAGATATAAAAGTAATTGCCTTTTATCCATAGCTAAGCCTAAATAAAGCATGACACTGATAACAAAATATAAATATTTTTGGGAAAACCTACCCATCTTTGTATACGTGCAGAACAACCCATATTCCCTCCCCTGCATTATTAACTTGTGTGACGTAATCAGCCTTGCTTATCTCCACAACATCACCGAATCTTGCATTTGCCTGTGCAGCTTTAAGTTCAGCTAATCTTTGACGTCTGCCAAATTAAATATAAAATAAAATGGCGGTGAAAACGATTAATAACTAACTAACTGGTTATGTTACATAAGTTTGCAGCTAAAATTTATTACCATATGAAATATACCTGTATTCTTCAAAGATCCTTTCATCATCTTCATCTATATCATCTTCTTTATCATTAAGTTCATCTAGTGTTAGCTCAGCAAGACCTTTTCCTGAAATAAAATAATTTACATTCCATTAAAAAATGTTTAAATTGAACATTCTATGTTAACTTTTCTTATATTATTGATGCTTAGTACACACAACATTTTTAAAAAACTTTATAATAATGTCATGAAATCAAATAATAACTTAGCCCTCTAATCAAGGGTAAGGAAAATATATTATTTTTTAGATTGAAGTACATTAGTCTTTTTTCTAGCTTGCCAGAATGTAGAAATTTGTTCATAGGCATAACTAATAATATAATAATATATATATATAAAACTGTAAAAAAAATTTATTTGCCTTTTTGAATAGACTCTACAGTTTGTTCAAGAAGATTAACTATGTCATCTTCTGTGAATTCTTTTTCCTTCTCTTTTTGAGGAATAATATTGTGGCGGCGCAATGCATCATTCCACTGAGTATCTTCATCTGGGTTCTGTTGATTGAAAAATTGAATGTTCAGTAGCAGTGCACAACCAAATTTTTAATTATTAAAAATTAAAATTCTGAAAGTTCAGATTTGAACAAGTCTAGAACAACCTTTTAAAATTCAAGGTACACTCAATACAAGCATTTAAGCAAGGCACTTCATCATTTATTTCTGCAGAGGCTTGTAAAATGTTTTATGTGATTTCTATTAGTAGTTATTGGTACTATTACTATTAGTCTCATATTATTTGGAATGGAGCTAGTAGCTCTTGCCCCCAAGTATGTCAATGGCTTGTCATGTTGTCACAGTGACATTTCCTCAATTTGCATGTCTGCCACATGCAAAATAGCACTAGGGTTTGCGAAACATGAACTTAAGACAATAAAATTATGCAGAAAAATAATTTATGGTGGTAAAAAAGCTACCTAAATAGTGATGCCTCTGCCTCTACCAATCATCACAAACTCAAACTGCCATCATAAAATTCTTTGGCCTAGCCAAAATCAGGCAGTCAATTGTCAATATTTAATAATTTTCAGGATGACAATGTCAAAACATTGTCAATGGTCTGAATGGTCAAAGTTAAACTAAAACTAAATGCCCCCTTAGCTATGTTTCTTGTTTGTGAAGCAACAATCAAACGGCGCGAAGCAAGGCTGTGTAATTGCCTAGGCAGCACACTGTCCAAAAGCGCAACCATCGATGACGAGATTAACCTCCGTATTGCGAGAGCCAGTGCAACCTATGGAAAATTGACTGAGGACATATGGACCAGGAGAGGTATCAGCACTCAAATTAAACTGCAAGTATATCAGGCGGCTGTTCTCCTTTCGCTTCTCTATGCCTGTGAAACGTGGGCGCTATACCAACTCCATGCAAAAATGCTGCACCACTTTCATGAAACAAGACTCAGAAAATTTCCTCAACATTAAATGGCAGGACAGAGTCCCAGACACTCAGGTGGTCAAACAGGCAGATCTCCCCAGCTTCTTTACCATCTTAATGAAGTCCCAGCTTTGCTGGGCGGGACATGTTATGAGAAAGTCCGACGAATGTCAGCCCAAAAGAATTTTCTATGGTGAGCTCGAACAAGGAATGCGGTCTGCTGGGGGGCAGAAGAAACGTTTTAAAGACAACCTAAAAGTAAAAGCCTCACTAAAAGCGTTCGAAATAAACCCAAAACATGGGAGGAAAAAGCAAAAGATCGAACATCATGAAATTCCACTTTACACAGGAGCTCCATGCAACATGAAGTTGGCAGAACAGCAGATGCAGAGCACAAGGGCAAGAGACATGCCAGGAAGGCCCGATCTGACTCTGCTCCCGGAGATGCCCCATCATTCTTCTGCACCTACTGCACAAGAAAATTTGCTGCCAGAATCTGCCTCATTAGCCATCTGCACACCCACATAGACAGAACTAGCACAAATCTGATGATTAAAGTGGTCAAGGTCGACTCCCGAACAACAACAAACAACAATCATATTAACAGTAACAATTCTCACTAGTTCTAGTATCTTTTCTTATTATCTACATTTGATTATCATGTCAATTATGTTATAAGTTATAGTTATATTCTTTACTGTATAATACTGTATATTAGTATTAGAAGTTATCAATTTGAATTTAAGACAGAGTATCCTACCTCAAATGTATTTCCTCACCGACCCTGGGGCAACTGCAGACCCCCTGAGAACATTAAGACGGTCTAAGTCTAACTTGTCTAAGAAGCCAGAAGGCAAGGGGCAGGGGTAGGAGGTCTTTTTTATATTTTGAGTTGTGTGAGTGTTCTTTTTTTTTCATATAAATATATATAAAATATATAATATAAAATTTGAATTGCAATCCTTCCTCCTTCATATTCTTCTCAGAATAAGTTAGTAAAAATTCTATTTGTTCATTAGGTTATGCTAGAATTACCTGCATTTTAAAGGGAAGACTGTCAACTGTTTATGTCCGAGTTTCTAGTGACAATCAAAGATATGAATGAAGGAAACGACACACTATAAACACTGATTTTTGCATTAACACACAAACAGTCCTAACATGCGGAATCCCCGGAAATGATGAGTAAGTGAAATAAAGTAGTCAGATAATAAGGCAATTGGAAGTTGAAATAAATTTTACTATTCTTTAATCCACGTTAGCAGAAATAGATTATTAATTACAAATATACTTATAAAATAAATACTTTTTTACTCCCAAGTAATACATTTATGAGTAAAAAAGTTAATAATATTATTTTTCATTGAATTTAATTTATTTGGCAACAAGATTTGTAACTTGTTTCCGATTGGTTAAGTTTTATTTGGTATATCCCAGTTTTCTTTTCCTTATATGGTCAATAATCTATTTATAGATATTTTTATTTAGTTACCTGTAAGTTTCTTATGAACTTATTTGTATGGTATCTGGGGAGTGTGTCATCATTATTAGTTGAGTTTTAATAAAAACTTTTAGCAGTAATACACTGGGAAAAAAAGGATAACAGATTAAGTTTAGATAAAATGAAATATGTTTTAATTTAATTAATTGTGTTACACATGATAGGAGTGGAAGGGAAGGCCTGAAAAAAAAAAAAAAAGACGAGACGTAACACAATCCCAGGTCCAGATCAACAAACAATAAAGAAAAAGCCTTTCATTGTCACCGAAAAGAACAAATAGACAGAAAAAAATAAAAACCGAAACACTGGAAAAAAAAAAAAAAAAAGGAGGAGCAATTGTCTTTTTAATTTCACTCACCATCACATAAGCAGTATCATGCCCATGGCTACAGGCATAGGCATAGGCTATTAGGCCTATATATTGAGTCCTGTTTATTAAGCCTATTTAGTTTTCTCGGACGCATGCTTCCAATTAGTTTTTTTGCGTCAGTCAAAGTCTTCCATTTCCTCCACTATGGTAAAGAATGTATAAAATAACTTCAGAAGAATATGTTTTATCAATTGCATTTTGTATGTAGACTGTTTACTTATTAATAGCTGGGTCATAATTTGGTATATTATATCATGAATTATCAATGATGCAGCCTTTTTGATTTATACATTTTTTGTGACATCTAATAATTATTCCTTTCATAAGTGAACCAAAGCCATGGGGAATTTTTTCACCTTTAAATTAAATCCACGGCCTGTCCCAATTTAACGAGACCAGGGATAATGTAAATGACAGATGTAGGCTACATTCATGGAACCTAGTGACCATAGGGGCCATCTATAAATGACGCCACGCGTCTAGAAAAAAAAAAGGGGGGGGGGGGGGGGTGGTGGTCATGGCCCCAGTAGAGTTCTAGTAGGTCGTGGGCTGGTGGTGACACCTTTTTTTTTTCTTTTTTTTTTCTGACGATTTGTGACGAGGGGAGGTTTAAGCAATGTGACGTCACATGAAAAGCGGAATATTGTTGTAGTAGTTAAGTAAAGCATTGCACGTAATAAACCTAAATTATAGAAATTTGTAACATTATTCTTTTATACAGCAAGTTTAATTATTTTATTTTTTAACTACGACTTCACTGAGAGAATCAGTACATATATGCGAGGTCCTAAAAATGGCATCTGATCAAGTTACAGGACGCCACGGAGGAGGAGAATCGGGATATAGTTACAATGACAGTGTTGACAGTCATGAGAATTTATGACATTGACTCGGACTGATAAGTTTGCGGTGGCATTTTATTGATTTTGGTGTCACCTCTCTTTTGAGGGTATTATCAGGTGACGGTACTTGATTTGTATTATCTAAGTAAATAGCATTGTCGGTAGGCAAAACAATGTTCTCTAGCAATGTGCATTTGAAAGCAATGGATCAAGATTCTAATTATATATATGTCATAAACCTCGCGTACATAGGCTGGTTGCATGACAGTTCATTGGCAGACACTTCGACAAAACAGTGTATAGACGGAACAAAACTCTATCAACATGGACACTTATGTTAAATTTATGTGAAGGGTTGTTGATGAAGTGGTGTTGATGAAATGTTTTCTAGATTTACTGACCTGTAACCCATAGGCCTACCTACAACTGACCTCTTGGTCACACTCTCCCACCCCAATCATTGCGTATATTATAGCTTATATTGAGATGCCCCATGTTAACTAAATTGAAAACCAAATACAACTAGGACAATTTCTTATGAATTTAGATGTATGTATGAATAATTTACACAAAACACATGCGACTTACAGGTCCTTCAGAATGGGACATCAAGGTAAATATACAGAGTGCTGTTTTGAGCAGTGACTTGTGTGATGACAATAGCTGTGGTGAATATGGTTAGATAGTTGATGATGATTGATCAAGTACTTTTCTACCGCTTGTGTCCATCCCATTTTAGCATGCACAGAACTCTGACGTCCTAAATTCTGTTTAAAGAAAGAAACTCGTCCCTCTCCCCCATAGACAGCGACGAGGCCATGACAGGCAATTCAGGCTCATACCAGCAAGAAGCCAGTATAGGAGCTGCTCATTCCTGCCCAAGACAATCAGGGACTGGAACCATCTTTCAAAAGGAACAGTTGAGGCGACAACACTAGACACATTTGTGTCTATTGCCTCAAGCCTTCAAACCCCTAGTGCATAATTTCCTCATCACCACCAGTAACAGAAACATTGCAAATCCCATCTACATGCATAGGAGCCAAAATGATCAATAAATTGATCGTGGGCCCTTAAGATATAGAAGAAGAAGAAGAAATGACTTTTTATCATTTTCAATGACCCTCAAAGATTGAGGCAAACTGTTCCACAATTTAGGCGCAATAGCCCCAAAAGAGCGCACCCCATAAGACTTCTTTCTGTGTCCATCATCACTGGGAACTCTCAATAAGGACTGTGTCGAAGAGCGCAGGTTCTGATGGATACATTTTTAGAGATTAGTTTTTGAAGATATTCAGGTGCAGAGCCTTCTTTCTCTACAGCTGTACGCCAGGGATAGAAATTTGTAGTCAATGCGGTCACTCACAGGAAGCGAAAGGAGATCTTTAAGAACAGGGGTGATGTGGTCAGATTACTTTATGCGCAAAACAATGCTGCTGCAGTATTTTGTATCTTCTAGAGCAGTGGTCCCCAAACTTTTTATCGCCGCAGACCGGTCAACGTTTGATAATTTTACCGCGGCCCGCTGAGGGGTTGGGGGTGTTGATTGTTTATATTTTGGATTGTTTTGATTTATAATTTGTATTTAATTGTAGTTAAACATGCCTTCAAAATAAAATACAGTTACACCAAAAATGAATATAAACCGATTGATCATTTTAACTCACTATAACGCTAAATTTAATGAGAACCATGAGCTTGTTTTGATGGTTCGATTTTGGGGTATTAGGAGACAATGACACCCGAAGTGTGTTGCTTATGTCCAGTTTATTCCGATGTTTTGTTTTGGTTGCTGTCACTGCAGAAAACCCCGCTTCACACGGATAGGATGTCGGAAATGGCAATAGGGATTTAAGTGCTATGGTGGCAATCTCAGGATATTCCGCCATTGATATTTTTATTCACTATTAAGATATCATATAAAAAAGAATTTGGTGCCCGCCCTCTTTGCCCTATTCTCCTGGCTCTGCTCCAGAGCAACATGGCACCCAGAGCGACGCATAATATGGGGACCACTGGGCTGGCCAAATTGTTGGCTGTTTAAACACGCCACTCATTTAAAAAAAAAAAATATTTATCCAGTGAGTCACCAAACGATTTAATGGGTAATTGTGACTCACTGGATAAATATTTATGGAAAAAACACCAAAGACATCAAACGATTTAATGGGTAATTATATCTTTGGTGTTTTTTTATAGGGATGGGGGCTAAAAGCTATTTGTACGTACGAGTTGGGGGGGGGGGCAAGAGTGTCCCCCCCAAAAAAAACAAACAAAACATAACAACACCACCCCCACCCCAGCCGCCTGTATGATTCTGGTTACTGTGAGCCTCTGTGACCGTACGTCCGTAATTATCATCCAGAAAATCTGGCAAGCTTATAAAATGGAAATAATTTAATGTTTGTTGGGCGGCCCGGTACCATTTGATCCATGGACTGGTACCGGTCCGAGGCCCGGTGTTTGGGGACCACTGTTCTAGAGTCTCTGAATTTGGTTTTGAGGTAAACCCCACAAACAACTGTTAGAGTAATCTAATCTTGATTGGATTAAAGTTACTGCTACGGCATTGGCTGTTCTCTTAAGTTGAGGACGCAGCTGACCCAGAGCGCGAAGATGACAGAAACAAGCCCTGACCACAGAACTGATATGATGAATCATAGTAAGTTTGCTGTCAGTATAGAAGCCCGGGTCTCTAACCGTGTTGAACAAGGGGATATCAGATGCACCAATTTTTAACGATACGGAGTATTGCCGCCTCACAACTGTGTCCAGGTCGATATGCAGATTGAAACTTATCAAGCAAGTCATAAGCGTTAAGATGCTGCACAAGCTGCTGTGACATAATCTCTCAAAAATTTTAGATACAAAAGGCAGGTTGGAGAACGGGCGGGAATTCTGTCAGTCATTTGGGTCCACGCCACTTTTTTAAGCAGAGGCTTGAAGAGACTTGGGACCGTGGCAGACTGAAGGCTACTATTCACAATGTTAAGCAGTAAAGGAAGTAAAACTTCTAGACAGTCCAAAACAATCTTAGCTGGGATGGGGGTTAACAATAGAAGATGTAGGTTTAGATGCCATGCTACTGTGTTGATTACTTTGTGATGGTGGTAACTTTTTTTTCCTTGCTTTAGTTTTGACATACTGGTACTATACATTATTATTTGTCATTTATTACGTAACCATAGAAATAACAGATTTCACACCACTCCAATAGTTAAATAAAAATAAAAGGTTTTAAAAGGCAATTATTCCCAAACATATTTTAATTTATAATCAACATTTTCCACAATTTTTGAAAAGTACATAGGTTTTAATTTTGACAAAATTTACTTTGCAAGCACCAAGGTCAACATAACAAATAATTTTAAAAAAAAATTACTTATAAGAGAAACTGTCTCTTTTTTCTACAACTTAAGACGCAGTAGTGAAATGGAAGATTACCCAAATCAATGGACAAAAAATACCAA